AACAACGATATCAACTATGGCTGGAGATCAATACGACTTCCGCTTCAGCTACTACGAGGTTAGGTTGTTAGAATAATAATTATTATTATTATTATTATATGGTTCATTATGATTATTTTATGCTTCAGCTACTACGAGTAAAACTCTTTTTGGAAAGGAACAAACTTTTCTTTAAAACCCAATGAAGTATAGGTGGGTTAAAAGTGCAACTTGAACTGAAAATACTTGAGATAAGGGAGTGGCTTAATGAGGGAAAAGGAGATTATAAAAGATTATAAAAGTTCAGGTTGTCAGGGACAATCAAAGTCGCAACGCTTTCCGCAACTTCGATCAACCCCAAGATATCCTGCTCTTTCTGGATGCCAAACTAACGTACGCGTAAAAACACTTTCAAGATCCATTTTCAATCCACACACTGTTGGTCTAAAAGCTAGACTAGATAGATAGAGATGGAGTACGTACCTATTTTTTAATATTTTCCTGGAGTGTTTTCTATCTAATATTAACCACCTTTGAATGCCGGTTGACACATTAATTTATATGTAATTAGTAGTGAATATAATGCCGTTTATAATTAAAGCTAATGTTGATTTGATATATTTCATTTTTATTTTTATTTTACAATTAATGTTGAAATTGGTTCATAATTTTCTTTACTAGGTTTGTTCTCACTTGATTCACCAATATAATATATATAGGGGCTACTGGCTCTATTGCAAATGAAAGTTCAATCCGGATACCATTACACCACATAGTCTTGGTTTATAAAAAATTATATTTCTTGGGATCTTTAATTAATAATTTAAAATAACATTTATACATATTAATAATGAAGTTTCTCAATTATAAATTAAATGATTTAATTTTAAAGTGATAATTGATAATATTAAATTAATTAACCTTAAGCACCAAGTACTATCATTTCTCACTGCACGTACGTTCGCGCCCACAAATCACAATAAATATATATATATATATATATATATATATATATATATAGTTCGTGTACTCCCTCCCTAATCCCTATAACCATTATTAATTCGATCATATCATTATATTGTGGCGGATAGATCAGCACTCATCGATCAGCTATGGACGTCGAATCATCGGCTGAACCCCAAGATTGCCGCACCGCCAAGAAGATGATTCTGAAGTTGAAGTTGAAGAAAAAGATTGAAGAAGTAGTAGTTCCTGGCCCTGGCCCTGCTGCGGTGGCGTCATCGTCATCAGAGAAGAAGAAGTTGGAAGCCACGAAGAGGAAGTTGGAGCAAAGCTACGCTGATGAAGCCGACAAGAAAGCGAAGAAGAAGATACAAGTCATTCATGATTTCCCAAAAACCAAGAATAATCTCCAGTCCCAGATGAAAGCTCTTGTCTCCGACTTCGACGGTGACGTCCGAGAAAGGCTGCTTGCAAAAATGAAGAGGCTCAAGAAGAAAAATCATAACCTGAAACCAAACTACACTTTATATTCAAAAAAGGCCTACATTTGATCGATCCATCCATGTAACCCAAGAACTACGTGCGGCTTGATCCCAGACAAATCTGGAGTACGTAGGCAGCCTTTAATTCGTTAAAAATTAAAGGTTCAGCTGCGATTTTAATTAATTCCTATCAAACTTGATTAAGCGGTTTGGTTTGGGTAGACCCACTGTACAGGGATTAGATGCCTAGCTCTTAAAAGATGTTGTATCACCACTATCACTATTACAGAAATTATACAGAGATTAGATGCCTTTAAATACATGGATTAGATGTTGTATCTTACCGCAGCTTCGATAACTCTTGCTATATGTGAATTAGGATCATCATCTATATCGCATGCATATTTCTTGTGAATTGTCTTGGAATATCTGTGGGCATGCATATATATTCTCTTCGTTCATAGCTTGGCACATAAGAAGGAGCTAATATAGGTGGACAAATTGAATGAATGGGTTGGGTTGCGTTACGTTACGTTGCTGATCGAAACTAACGGAGGGAGAACTTGGTTCAAGATCTACAAAGAGGAACTTGAAATGAGAGATAGATTCATTAACTGTGAAAGAGCTTAGCTTAGCTTGCCACAGGGCTGGGGATTATGAGTCTCAAGATACATACACATAATAGTTATTGTGATAATACATATAGTGAATGTGTTTTATATAAATTTTTGCATTTTCATAATCTCATTTCTAATTTATTCAAATCCAATTTTCAATCTCATTTTACACAAATCAAAAGCATTATACAGTATTAATTAGATTTGATGTTCCAATTTTTACTTAAGGATTGTTTAAGGATTAGGGTTTAATTGAGACGAACCTTACGTTGTTCAGCTATTCAGGAAATTAGGTCTGTGCCACATCTCTTGTGGTAGCGGTCAAACATTTATTTTTCTATGTTAATTATGCACAACTTGTTGCATAAATACTTAATTCGACTATTGTTTTAAGGCTTTTGTGAAAAGGTCTCTAGGTTATTCTCCAACATTCAATTAGGCTTGTTGGTGAAAAATTGTAAACATTTTGATTTTATGACCATTATATATATATATATATATATATATATATATATATATATATATATATATATAGAAAAGCGTTCATATGTGGTCATGTCATTAGGTGTGGTCGTGTGGTCATATCTGTGTCGTTGAATCAGTTTAATCTAACGGCAGTGGTAATTCTGAGAATTTTCGCACGTTTTGGTAAGTGGGGGTGTTATGGTAATTACCGTCGCCATTTATAGCGGGCGGGTTCCAGAATACACCAACAGTGTTGACAACATACACCAATAGTGTAATAAAACACACCACAGTGGAACACAGCAATGGTGTATTCCCGTGTTATGGTAATTACAATGGCCATTTATAGCGGCCGGCTTCCAGAATACACCAACAGTGTTTGACAACAATCACCAATAGTGTAATAAAACACACAACAATGTGATTTCCCCTATTCCGGTGTTTTATGACGAGTTTACCCTTGCAATTCGCTGGGTAGGAGAATGTGCGTGAAAATACTGAAAAAATCTTAATTAATATGATTCATTGGATCTATCTAATCTAATGACCTATAATTGACCATATGACCACACCTAACAACATGACCACATGTGATCACTCCTATATATATATATATATATATATGACGATAATACCTCTAGATTTAACACCGATTTAACAAACATCTTAGCGGATGACTATTTGTAGTAAAAAATGAAAGTCAAGGTATGCATTTTGGTCAAATTGAAAGTCAAAGACTATAAGGAGTACTAACCTAAGGGCATGTGTTGGTTCATGGAAAATGTTTTCCTTGAATTTGAGGAAAACTAGATTTTTCTTTGTTTGATTCATGGAAAACATTTTCCATTGAAAAACATTTTCCTCAAAAATGAGGAAAACATTTTCCATGGCCCCCCTTGGTATTTTGTTTTCCATGGAAAATGTTTTTCCATAGAAAACAAGTATGACAATTATACCCTCATCAATTTTTCTTAATTACAATTATTATTGTCGTTGTTATTATTATGTAGGGGTATAATTGTCTTTATACTCATTTTTCCTTACAATTCTAAACTCAACCAAACAATGGAATCGATGTTCCCAGTAATTTATTTTTCATCAACCAAACAATGTAATTAATCTTCCCGGTAATTTCTTTTCCATGGAATTTCAATTCCATTTCCTCTCAAATATTTTTCGCGAACCAAACGGGGCCTAATTGTCAGAGGACCATTTGTGGTATTAACTCTTTTTAAATTTACTTACACACATTTGAAAGCCTATCCACTTCCTTATCCTTCTTTCACTACGGTAACTCATTGATTTTTACAGGGCCAAATGTTGATGTTGCGCATATGGGATTTGTATACTTTGGACCAAGTTTCGAACCTGGGTCTCTTCTCTCGAATGTTGTCTACTGAATCAGTGAGCTAAACTCGTGCGGTCAGGAACCAAATACATCACTTCGTTTATAACTGAGGGACTAAAATAGATATGATCATAACTTAGGGACTGAGTCGGAACTTGGGTATAACTCAGGGACCTAAGACTGCATTACATTCTCTATAAACTGTAAATCTGACAAGAATACAGAACTAACCTTTAAACCATATGATCATCAATTAATCATTCTAGTTTGTACTTTACAAGCACTATTATCATCCTACTGCACAGTGAAACAATTAAAATGGTACTAGAGATATCTTTATTTAAAACTAGTTTGTTTTGTTTCAACACAGGTTCCCGCCTACATCTATTGCTCTACCACTGATCATCTAGTAAACAAAATAATCATGCTTTCCATATTTGTAGTTCCCTTCTATTTTTCCTTTTTGAATCAATGATAAGTCATACCCAATGTTTTGGGTTTTCATGTATCCACAACCACCAAAAAGTGAATGTCTATCACTCCGGCAATTTATATCGTGCACTAAGGCGCGCATTGCATTGTGCGCCCTGATGCAAAATGACGTCGTTTCAGATTTTTTTTTTAATGCACGTAACCGATCGAAATTGAATATGTCAATTTTAATCGGTTATTTTGATAACTTAAAAACCGACACTTTCCACAACCCACAATCCCAAAATAGATTGTATGAGTATCCCATTCCTTTGTAATAATAATAAAAAAAAAGATACTACAATGCAGAAACGTAGAAGCTACACAAATTGCGGACAGAAAAACAAAACGCTCCGCAGCTGGTGCCTGTTGCGATCGCAACCCCTCATGGCGGCGTCGACGGGGGCCGCCGTGCCCCCTCCTCGCTCTTTTGCAGACATTCTCTCGGATACTACCATGCCTCCTCTTATCCGCCCATCAGAACGATACAAAGGAATGCCCGCCATCTCCTTTTCAGACGATGACGTCCACATCTTCGCCCACAAATTCAGATATGCTCTGGTATGCAAATTTGTGAAATATCGCCCGCCGATGGCGGAACTCAGAAAGGCCTTTGAACTCATTTGATTTGGAGGCGCATTCACACTAGGCCTCCTGGATCAACGCCACATTCTCATGAATTTCGATCATGAAACTGATTTCCAAAGATGCTGGCTAAGGAAGTCGTGGTCAATCAAGGGATCTTTAATGCGAGTGTTTAAATGGACACCTGATTTCCGGCCTGAATATGAATCACCGATTGTGCCCGTCTGGATTTCATTAGAGGGTCTGACGGCTCATCTCCACGAAAAGAGAGCCATCTACTCGATAGCAAACCTCATTGGCTCCCCACTGAAGGTAGATGCTTCGACACTATCCCACAATCGACCTTCGACAGCGAGAGTTTGTGTGGAACTGGATGTGAGCACCTCCCCGACGGATCAGATTTGGATCAATAATGGGTCGTATGGTGGGTTTAGCCAACGAGTCACGTACGAGTACACCCCACTGTACTGTCTAGACTGCCGTAGGTTTGGTCATGTGACATCTGAATGCCGGACTACGAAAGACAAGCCCTTGAATGAACTACGTCGTGAAGCCTTGGGAGTGACTGATCAACGGCCTTCCCGGCAGCCACTGCTGGTCCCTCCACGGAAAAGGTGGCACCCAGCGCCTCAAGCTACTGCACAATTGGTCATTCAAAAAGCATCTGTTGATAGCCAAAATGAGCTAGAAGCTGGTTCAACAGCACCGCTGGTGATCCCCACCGTCACGTCATTGGAAGTAAACATCATTGACGATCAGGGAATTCGTCACTCACAATCTTCTGATACTCAGCCCGGGCACTTATCTGAGGGGGACGAGGTACAGAACGCACAATCTTTTACCCCATCCCTGCTCGACTCTTAGAAAGAAGCGAGCAAAATTTTTGCTTTGAAACTGGGAGGCTCACGACAAGATAATTTCGTCACAGTAAGCAAAAAGAAAAGCAGGCCAAGGAAGGACTACTCTTCCCAAGTACCGGCAGTCACAACACGCCTTGGGAAAAATCGCTAGGGTCTCTTTTTCCCACCGCCTCAAATGAATGTGCTCAGTTGGAACGTCATGGGCCTACTATCCTCACGTCGTAGGCTCAAACGACTAATTAGACGTGAGCATGTACAAATGGCTTCAATAATCGAACCAATGCTAACCCAAGACAGTTTAGCGCAGATGACACAGGCCTTGGGCTTTTCAGATGGTTTTGCCTCATCGGAGTCCAAAATCTGGCTACTTTGGACTACTGATTTCGAAGTAGAAGTAGAGTGTGACAATGGCCAATTTGTTAGCTGTAATGTTGTTTATCTACCTTGGCAGTTCAGATTTCGTTTTGTCTCAGTTTATGCGAAGCACACAAGGGGAGAGAGGCTACATCTCTGGGCGCAACTTGCTATTCTTCTAAATAGCCCTTTGCCGATTCTGATGGGAGGTGACTTTAACGTTATCTCAAGTGTGACGGAGTACCGAGGAAGTGCATGGCCGGACACTAATAGCATAGCTGACTTCTCATCGTTCATCCGAGATAATGCCTTGATTGACTTGGATGTTATAGGCAACCTGTACACTTGGCATGGAGTTCGAATTACTGGCCCTGTCTGGAAGAGGCTAGATAGGTTTCTCATAAATACAGTTTGGAGGGATTCATTCTCAGATATCCGAATTTGTGCTCTAGCCAGAACCACATCAGATCACGCACCATTGCTTCTCCACGGTGCGAACTCCTCGCTCTCAGCTCCGAAACAGTTCCGCTTCCAGAATATGTGGCTAACGCATCCGGACTTCATGGAAATAGTTCGCAACAGCTGGGAGCAATCAGCAGACGGTGGGGGCATGAGAGCTCTCTCCTATAAACTAAAACGGCTCAAGATGGCGCTAAAGGATTGGAATAAGCACTCCTTTGGCAATATCTTTGATCGTATCAAAACTCTGGAATCGGAGGTAGCTTTAGCAGAATGCAGACACGCCAATAACCCCTCTGGAGAATCTAGAACAGCACTGCAAGCTAAACAGGCAGACCTCATGTTGGCTCTAAAGCAGGAAGAAAGTTTTTGGAAGCAGAAGGCTAGGGTAAAATGGGTGAAGGAAGGAGATGCGAATACTCGTTACTTTCACTCGGTGGTTAAGGACAGGCACCGAAGACAACGCATCTCCTCGGTAAAAAGTGCTGGGGGTCATTTGCTAACCGATCAAAGGGAAATACAGGAGGAAGCTGTCACATTATACTCTTCCCTTTTCTCAGCAGAAGATTGCCCCAATCTAGAACCTCTCTTGCAATGCCTCCCCCCGGATTTGCTCGGACATGATACTCACTCTCTTGTTTCACAGTTGACGCCGGAAGAGGTCAAAGAAGCAGTGTGGAAGCTAGACCCGGACAGCGCGCCGGGGCCAGATGGCTTCTCTGGTGCGTTCTTTAGACACTGCTGGGAGTTAATAAAAGAGGACGTTTTTTGGGCAGTTCAAGACTTCTTAGTGGGGGTCCCGATTCCTCGAGCTATGGCAAGTGCACAAATAATCCTCATTCCCAAGAAGGCTCATCCAGACTCCTTTGCTGACTACAGGCCGATCAGCCTTTGCACTTTCATTAGCAAAGTTTTCACGTGGGTCATAGTCTCAAGGCTAAATCCTATTCTCCCGAAGCTAATTTCTCGAGAGCAAGCAGGCTTTGTGAAAGGCCGCAGTATTCAAGATAACGTCCTGCTAGCCTTTGAATTGCTCCAATATCTGGACAAAAAATGCCGCGGTGCGAATGTGATTGTCAAGCTAGATATGATGAAGGCTTTTGACCGGGTTTCTTGGTCTTATCTAAGAGCGGTTTTGGAGCGCCTTGGCTTTCCGGCGTTGTTCGTTCACATCATAATGGCCAATTTGGAGGCAACGAGGCTATCAATATTGGTTAATGGTGCTAGTTGTGGTTTCTTTCAATCGACTAGGGGAGTGAAACAAGGTGACCCGCTTTCGCCCCTCCTCTTCATATTGGCCTCAGAAGCTCTGTCTCGGTCACTGATCTTGAAAGTAGGTGTGGGGCTACTATCTCCATACTATACAGCGCCAAGATGTCCCCCCATCACTCACTTAGCCTTTGCAGACGACATAGTTATTTTTGTAAATGGGTCATCGGCCTCGCTAAAAGCTCTGGTGGACGTTTTAAATCTATATCAAAGTGACTCGGGGCAAAAGATCAACTACAGTAAAAGTTTCTTTGTTACCTCCTCTAAATGTACACACAGTCAAACTTCTGCCATGTCTCGAATCTTGGGAATGCAAAAGTTGACCTTGCCATTCCGTTATCTTGGGGTGAATCTTTTTAAAGGTAGAAACCGCCCTATTTACTATCACCACTTGCTTGAGAAGATTGACTCTACTTTGTTAAGCTGGCAACGAAAGCTTCTCTCACCGGGGGGCGTCTAACCTTAATTCGTCACATGCTCTCCATGATCCCGTTGTACACTGCTTCTTCACTCCTGTTACCCAAACAGATTGAAAGGGCCCTGGAAACCAGATTTTCCAACTTCTTATGTGGTATGGAAGGTGGCAAACCGAAGAGGCATTGGACCTCGTGGAAGAAGATGTGCTTCCCGTTCGAAGAAGGCGGGCTTGGACTACGATCAATTGGCAGCATTCAGAAAACTTACTCAGCCAAAATCTGTTTTAATTGGATGCAAGGAGGTTCGCTTTGGGGTGACTTTATGCGAGCTAAATATCATGACCCTCCCCAGGCAACCTGTTCGATGATTTGGAGGAGAATACAACAAGTCCAGGACTTTGTGCAGGAGAAGATAGTGGTTACTTCTGAGGGGAATGAGTGCTGGTCTCTCTCCTACTTTGGAGACTTTACTTTCTCCTCAGCGTACGAGGCCCTACGCGAGAAGGCTGGCAAAAGTCTTTCGTCGCAAAGCATCTGGGGAGGTGGTTTGCCGTCGAGGATCTCGCTGTTCATGTAGCGCCTACTTCGGCGGTTACTGCCTTTTCCGGACATCATACAGAAGCTAGGAGTGGTGTGTCAACCGTCTGTTTGCCCTTTCTGCCATTGTGACTCGGCATCCATGGAGCATTGCCTCTATCATTGTGCAATGGTGCAGCAGGTTTGGAGCTATTTTGCAGGACTTTTCGGGCTTTCCCAAACTCAAGCGAGCTCGGTTAGAACAGCGTTCCATGCATGGTGGCTGCTAACGCCATCCTCGGCAATCAGCTGGTGTGCAAGGCTTATACCTGCTATCATTTTATGGACCCTGTGGTGCTCTTATAATAAGGGAATTTATGAAGATACATCTCTATCACCGCCAGAAGCCATCAACAGAGTGCGGCAAGAGATTTATTTCATCTCTTTAACGCGTGAGTGTAACAGAAGAGGTCCGACCGATGACTTCCTTCTCACGGTTGGGCTTATATCTCGTTTTGGCCTAACGCCGCGAAAGGTTACGGTGTGGGTACGATGGCTAACACCTCCAGCGGGAAGGTTAAAACTCAATTCGGACGCGGCATACGCGGCAGAAGGTGCGGCTGGAGGCGCCTGCTTGCGCGATTCCAGTGGTCGTCTAGTAGTTGGGCTTAGCTTCCGCCTTGAAGCAGCCTCAGCTCTAGAGGCCGAAGCTGTTTCCTTGCATCTTGCTACCCAGTGGTGTTTAGCCTTTGCTAAGCGCCCATCAGAGATAGAAGTGGACTCCAAGATACCATGGAGAATTAATGCCGCGGTGGCTTTCATTCGTTCTTGCCTGAGCTGCTGGAATGCCCAGATTAGACATATCTACCGGGAAGCTAACCGGGTTGCCGACGCGCTTGCTGAATCTGGCCTTGCTTCCTCTCACTCGATGATCTTTGTTGATTCTTGTACTTTGCCTGAAAAGGCCAAAACAGCTCTTTTGTATGACCTCAGAGGCTTTGCCTCCCATCGCGCTATTCGCCATCAATAAAACTCTCTCATTTATTAAAAAAAAAAAAAAAACCATAACAAAATTCTTAACACATTCAATAAGCATTGTCCAAACTCCAAATTCACAACATTCAAAAACCATATAATCCAAAGTCTGACTCCAAAGTTCATAACACATTCAATAAGCAAAAATAAATAAATAAAATCCAAAGTTGATCAACATTATATTCAACATGCACTAGTAGAACACTCTTCATTCTTCAATCTTCATTTATTAGCAAACACTTTCAATTTTAGACGTTTAGTATCATATTTCAAACCAGTTGCATCCAAAAATTAATTAAAAGTGAATATATGATTATATGCATGAGATATTATAACTAATTCAAAATATATAAATTAATCTAATTTTTATTGTTAAAGTAACTCAATTCACAATACTAGGTCTCTGCCACATCTCTATCTTGTGGTAGAAGTCAAATATTAATTTTCCTATGTTAATTATGCCCAACTTGTTGCACAAATACTTAACTTGACTATTGTTTTAAGGCTTTTGTGAAAAGGTCTCCAGGTTATTCTGATGAGAATATAATTGTGTTGTATTCAATAATAATGTCTGAGAATACATGGAGCGAATATATAGAGATGCTAGATAGAATCCTAGTCTAACACGAATAATATAGTCCTAGTCTAATATGAATAATAGTGTCCTAATACTCCCCCTCAAACACAAGTTTGGTCAGCCAAAACATTGAGCTTGGAACGGAGTAAATTAAAACGTACAGACGAAAGAGACTTAGTAAAAATATCCGCTATTTGATCTTTGATAGAAATAAAATTGACTTGTAATTCCTTCTTTGCTACTTTATCGCGAACAAAGTGGTAGTCGATCTCAATGTGTTTGGTGCGAGCATGGAACACCGGATTAGCACATAGATAAGTAGCACCCAGATTATCACACCAGAGTTTGGGCGCAGAAGGTGGTGCAAACCCGAGTTCCTTCACCAGAAATACGAGCCATGTAACCTCTGCAGAAACATCAGCGAGTCGTTTGTATTCTGCCTCAGTTGAGGAATTAGCCACAGTACGCTGTTTTCGACAAACCCATGAGACAAGATTGGTCACCAAAAACACAGCAAAACCACTGGTAGATTTTCGATCATCAGGATTGCCAGCGCAATCGGAATCAGAATAAGCATGAATATCCAGAGAGGGAGAGGAAATAATTTTAAGACCGAGATGTAGTGTCCCAGTTACATACCGTAACACCCTCTTGAGAGCCGTCCAATCCGCAGTGGAGGGAGAGTGCATGTGCTGACACAAACGATGACAACATAGGAAAGATCAGGACGAGTTACCGTAATATATTGTAGAGCACCTGCAAAGCTGCGATATTGAGTGGGATCAGCATATGGCACCACGGCACCAGTCTCGGCCTTCGCCATTGAAACCGGAGTGGTCACGGGCTTGCAATCAGCCATACCTGCCCGTTTTAAAATATCCTTCATGTACCGCTGTTGAGATAGAAGCATGCCACCAGACAACAGAATAGTCTCAATACCCAGGAAAAAAGAGGGCACTCCCATATCACGAACTTGAAATTCAAGAGCCAACTTGTCAATAAGATCAGTCACATGAGCCGAATCAGAACCCATAACCAAAATATCATCCACATAAACCAGTAAATATAGACGAGTATTGTCATGTGAATAGCAAACTAACTAATTCATCAAAATACCTAACTCACCAAAAAAAATATTAAAAATCAAACTAATTATTGTTGCCATTATATTTTCATAAATTCAAAGCAAAAACAATCCTTACCCTTAAATCCAGTTTGCTAAATCGAGAACTAAAATAATTCAACATGTTTAAACCTTTTACCTATTCAAATTTGATTACTTTCTTCCCAAATTATCAAAAAACCTATATATACCGAACCCCTGTCTGACGCTCCCTCCCTTACTCAGTCTACACTCACTTTCTTCAATCATCAAACTCACCGCTTTCGATCTCACTCTTGTCGGGCGATATGATTATTCCACCCAGGCTTCACCAACTCCGCCAGTGGCGGCATTCCTTCAGGATACACCAAGTTTACTTTCACGGTAATAACCTCTTAGTCATTGTCACCAAGAGAGCTGTCGAGGTCGATGAATGTGTCAACCAGATTCTTCAAGATCACTCTCCTGTTCTTCACGATCACTCCGTTGTCGTCGGCCTCGACATTGAGTGGCTCCCATCTTTGAAGAAGGGGAACATAATCCTGCGGCTATGCTCTAGCTCTGTGTCGAGAAGAGGTGTTTGATTTTTTTGCTTTTGCACAAAGATTACATTCTCCGATCTCTCCTTGCATTTCTGGCTCATCCGCGCTTCACCTTTATTGGCATTGTGGTTCAAGACGATGCCGACAAGCTTCTTCGAGATCACGACTTGGTGGTGAGAAAAGTTGTTGATTT